TAATCCTAAAACGTGGGAGGTGGAGGCAGGAGGATCAGGAGTTCAGGTTCTTTCTCAGCCGCACAGTCAGTCTGAGGCCAGCCTGGGCTACCCGAGACCATGTGCAAACCAGGAACAAGTGGCTGGAGTTGTCTCAGCCGTTCAGAGCACCTGTTGTCCCTCAGAAGACCTGAGTTCCCTCCCCAGCACTCACGTTGGGTGGGTTGCTCATAACTGCCAGTTTCTTAAGGGGATTAAATGTCTTCTTCTGGCCTTCATGGGTAACCCTCCCCAATAAACAGAAATAAAAATAAGGGTTAAAACAAAAATATCAGTGCCATCCAGGACAAAACGGCAGCTCACAGAATGGGAAAAAATTTTCACCAACTCCACATCTGACAGAGGGCTAATATCCAAAATATATAAAGAACTCAAGAAACTAGAACAAACAAACCAAATAATCCAATTAAAAATGGGGTACAGATCTGAATAGAGAGTTCTCAACAGAGGAATCTCAAATGGCCGAGAAACACTTAAATGTTCAACATCCTTAGCCATCAGGAAAATACAAATCAAGATGACTTAGATTCATTCTTACATCTGTCAGAATGACTAATATCAAAAAAACACAAGTGACAGCTCTTGCTGGAGAGAATGTGGAGCAAGGGGACACTCCTCCACTGCTGGTGGGAGTGTACAGCCACTGTGGAAATCAGCATGGCAGTCTCAGAAAATTGGGACTCGATCTATCTCAAGACCCAGCTATTCCACTCCCGGGCATATATCCAAAGGACGTTCCATCCTACCACAAGGACACTTGCTCAATTATATTCTTAGCAACTTTGTTCATAATAGTAAAAAACTGGAGGCCATCTAGATGTCCCTCAACTGAAGAATGGGTAAAGAAAATGTGGTACATTTGCACAATGGAGTATTACTCAGCTGTTTAAAAAAATAACATCATTGCAGCCAAATGGATGGAACTAGAAAAAAAAAATCACCTGAATGAGGTAACCTAGACCCAGAAAGACAAACATGGTATGTACTCACTCATAAGTGGATATTAACTGTTAAGTAAATAATAATTGTGCTACAATCCAACAGACCCAGAGAGGCTAGTAACAAGGAGGGCTCTAGAGGGGACGCGTGGATCCCCTTTAGAAGGGGAAATAGAATAGAGTTCATGGCTGGATTGGGGGCAGGTGGGGATGGGAACAGGAGAGATCAGGTGTTGGGGAGAGATGACTGGAATTGGGAGGCATTTGGGGGGTGAGGCAGAAACCTAATGCAATGGATACCCCCTGGAATCTACAAAAATGACCCTAGTGACGATTTCTAGCAATAGAGGGACATGGAGCCTGAACTGGTCATCTTCTGTAACCAGGCAAGGCTTCCAGTAGAGGGGCTGGGACATCAACACAGCCACAAAAGCTTAACCTACGATTTGTCCTGCCTGCCCGTGTGCTGAGGTAAAGGAGGCGCAGAACTTGCAGGAGTGACCAAACCATGACTGGAAACTTGAGACCCAAGCAGAAGAGGGAACCCATGCCTGACACTGCCTGAATGCCCACTGCATTGTGAGAAGGCTTGTCCAATACGGGAACATATCCTCCTAACCCCATAGATCTTAGGAGGCAGAGACCGGATCAAGGAAGGATCCAGGCCAACTACGTCTACACAGAAGTTCCAGGCAACGCTATTACTAGAACCCTGTCTCAAAAACGAAAAAGAGGTATGTGTAATCCTAGCTCTCTGGAGGTGGAGGCAAGTTCAAGGTCTCCCCTATATAGAGTTTGAGGCCAACTTAGGCTATATGAGACTGTGTCAAAAAAAAAAATTTACTGGGTTCCAGGTTCAATTTCCATCATCCATAGGACTGCTCACTAGTGTCTGTAACTCCAGCTCCAGGGGATCTGACGTCGTCTCCTGGCCTCCCACAGACATACATACTGGCAAAATATCTGTACACACAAAATAAACATAAAACTATAAAAATCCATTTAAAAAACTGAATACAGGGTGAGCAAGACAACTAGCAGGAAGCACTGACCGCCTGCAGCCCTGGAGACCTGAGGAGCCAGGTAAAGGTGGAAGGAAGGAACCAGCTCTAGTTACCCACTGACCACGTGAGCACAAGGCTTACTGGGACTCATACAGATACGATAGTTAAAAATCAGTTAATTAAAAATAAAACTCATATGTGCAAAATATAGCTCACCAAAATATTATAATTCTACACTTGTTAAATTATATGCATATACATGTACATGTACATATATAATCTATATATGGATATATCACAGAATTAACTTTTTGCAGCTCTGGCTGTCCTGGAACTCACTCTGTAGATCAGGCTGACCTAAACTCACAGAGATCCACCTACCTCTGCCTCCTGAGTGCTGGGACTAAATTTATGCACCGTCATGCCGGGCCTGGTGCCCCGAGAGGTCAGAATAACCCAGATTCCCTGGAACTAGTTACAGATAATTGTTAATCAGCTACGCTGGGAACTGAAGCTGGGCCCTCTCCAAGAGTATCAGGTGACTCAGGACTGGAGCGATGGCTCGGTGGTGAAGAGGACCTGGGTTCAATGGGTGACTCACACCCATCTATAACTCCATTTCCAGGGGATCCAATACTCTCTTCTGAGCAGGCGTGAATGCAGTACACAGACATGAGTAAAGTAGAACACCCATACACAGCATAATAATAATAATAATGATAATAAAAAATTAAAAACAGCAACAACAAAAACTTCATAAAGCCAGGCGGTGGTGTCGCACACTTTTAATCCCAGCACTCAGGAGGCAGAGGCAGGTGAACCTCTGAGTTAGAGGCCAGCCTGGTCTACAGAATGAGTTCCAGGACAGCTAGGGCTACACAGAGAAAGAACAACACAGGTGTCCACCACCACGCCTGGTGGTAGGAAATTTATTTTTAATTAATTAATTTATTTATTTATTTTTGGTTTTTCGAGACAGGGTTTCTCTGTAGCTTTGGTGCATATCCCGGAACTAGCTCTTGTAGACCAGGCTGGCCTCGAACTCACAGAGATCCGCCTGCCTCTGCCTCCCGAGTGCTGGGATTAAAGGCGTGCGCCACCACCGCCCGGCTTTATTTTTAAATGTTTTTAAAAGATTTTTTTTTTTTCGAGACAGGGTTTCTCTGTGGCTTTGGAGCCTGTCCTGGAACTAGCTCTGTAGACCAGGCTGGTCTCGAACTCACAGAGATCCGCCTGCCTCTGCCTCCCGAGTGCTGGGATTAAAGGCGTGCGCCACCATCGCCTGGCTTTTAAAAGACTTTGTTTTGTTTTTCGAGACAGGGTTTCTCTGTGTAACATTCCTGGCTATCCAAACTCACTCTATAGACCAGGCTGACCTCGAACTCACAGATCGACTGCCTCTGCCTCCCTAGTGCTGGAATTAAAGGTGTGTGCCATCACAGCCTGGCTTTAAAAGATTTATTTTATTGTGTGAATGCACACACAGGAAAGCCTGGGAATTACGGATGGTTCTGAGCCATCATGTGGGTGCTGGAAATCAGACCCAGGTCCTCTACCAGAGAAACAAGTACTCTAAATGACTGGGCCACCTCTCAGGCCCTACACTAAGTATTTTAAAATATCTGAATTACAAGGTATTCCCTTTTTACTGACCTCCTTTACCCTCCCAACACAGAAACCCCTCATAGTATCACACTCTCCAATACTGTCAACCCCGCTGCCTGGGCAGTAGGGGAAGGGGGGGGGGCGGTCGACTTCCTGGGTTGAAGATGGGCCCCAAAGGAAAAAAAACTCTTCAATCACGGAGACAGAGCAACATAATAGCTCTGACTTTGATTTGGAAAAATCTGTGTCTCACGATTTTCCTCATTTAGGAAAAATCAACACATTCAACGATCAAGTTGGAAACTTGTTATGAGTGTTTTGCCTGCATGTAGGAAATTCTACAGCTACGCTCTGCTACAAAAACACGCCGGACACATACGCACAGAACGTGTGCATCAGAAATGACGCGCACCACACATAACCCACTGACGACACGCAGAAACAAGAAACACCACACAGACAGCCTCAAGTGCACTTTGACCTGGGGCAGGAAGCTGTTCCATACCCAAGACCTTCCCTAAAATACCGGGACCAGAGAAGAAAGGATGCGGATGGGCAGGTGTGCACCAGGCAACACTCGGCGCCCATCCGCGTTCCCCATTAAGTACGCACCTTGGACAGGCATCATCTCGAAGACCGACCTGCCCAAACGCCCTCCCGGGCGGACGGCACCTGACCGCCCGAGCGCGGCGGACCCAAATCCCCACATCTAAAGGAAAAGGCATCGCAGGCTAGTGAGCTTGGAGAGGAGACGAGATGCGCTCTCTGGGCAAGGGCACTCCCAGCGAGCTAGTGAGAACGACAGTGGGAGTGGGAGCCAGCCTGTCCCCTGCCCCTGTCCCGCGAGCCTTACTGATCCGTGTGCTGCGGCTGGTGGCTGTGCGGCGCGGCCTCACTGAAGTGGTACCGGACGCCCCCGCCTAGGAGCGGGCCCCGGCTCGGGTGACCCCAGCCTCCCCGCCGGCGGTGGCTGCCGGCGCGGCTCAGCGCGTTCTGCAGAACCCTCATGGAGCGCATGCCCCCGGCGCGCCACCCGCTCTGCCCGGGCGCTCCAGACGTGCGAGCGGTGGCGAGGAGGGAGGGGTGGAAGTGACGGGCGAGCCTAGGAGTGGGGGAACAGTCCGGCGGCCAGCCGAGCCTGGGAGGAAAAGGGCCAGCTGGGTGGGTGGGGTTGGCACCAGGGGAGGGGCCAGGCCCGTGGCGACTCCGATCCTGCAGGTGCACCCATCGCCCTGGTCGCCCCCAGCCAGGAGTGCAGCGGCCGCCACCGGTGAGCAGCGGCTGGAAGGCGCTGCGTGGGAGGGGGCGGGTCCTGGAGTCAAGACGGACAGGGCCCATGGCCAATCATCGAGGAAGAAGAACCTTGGGAGGCGGGGAGAGTCAGGTCCCTGCGCCCACGGACTCTGGGGCGCGGCGCGTCACTGCGGTGGTGGGGAGAGAAACCCCTCTCTGCGCCGTCGGAGCTCGGGGAGAAGCGGCAGGGCTGGGAACGATGGGATTCTCTGGTGCCCCTGAAAATGTTACTCGAGAGAGAAAGATGAGAGCTAGCGGGAAGCAGGAGCCACCTAGTGAGCGGGTGGCGCGCCAGGGGCGTGCGAGGTTCCGAGGCCAGAAGCGGCCCGTGCGCTGTCACCTGCTGTGCGGGCTGCTGGCTCTGAGCAACGCGTCACGGACGCGCGCTGGCGGTGAGTGGAGAACGCATGTCCAGAAACAGCCGCGCTTCCGTGCGAGTCTTTCCGCTGCTAGGTTCTTAGCGTGATCTGCCTGCAGTTTATTTGGTGGTTGTGGAAATTCTTTCTGTGGAGTTCATGCATTAAAATAAGTGTGGTGGTGCACGCCTTTATTTCTAGTACTTGGGAGGTAGAAGCAGGCGGATCTCTGTGAGTTCGAGGCCAGCGTGGTCTACAAGAGCGCGTTCCAGGACAGGCTCCAAAGCTCACAGAGAAACTCTGTCTCGAAAAACCAAGAAAAAAAAAAAAAAGGAAGGAAGGAAGGAAGAAAGGAAGGAAGGAAGGAAGAAAGGAAGGAAGGAAGGAAGGAAGGAAGGAAGGAAGGAAGGAAGGAAGGGAAAGACAGCGAACACGAAAACCTTGTGTGTGCGCGCGCGTGCGTGTTAGTGTGTTAGAGACAGGGCCTTGTGATATAGCCCGTGTCGCCTCAGCATTCTCAAATGCAGGGATTACAGTTGTGTGCAACACACACACACACACACAGAGGGAGAGAGGGAGAGAGAGAGAGAGAGAGAGAGAGAGAGAGAGAGAGAGAGAGAGAGAAGAAACACAAAACATTATATAAATGCCCCCCCCCCCAATTTTATTTTTGAGACTGGGTCTCTCTATGTAGCCCTGGCTGTCCTGGCACTCCCTAGGTAGACCAGACTGGCCTCCCAGACCCACCTACCTGTTTAAACCTTCAGAGTGCTGGGATTAAAAGTGTGTGCGCCACCATCTGGTCCAGTTTTGTCTACTTAATCACCTACGCATCTCCTCTTCAATGAAGAACATGCACAAGACTCTTTGAGAACTAAGGGAGTGGTGGCCAGCACTCAAGCGCAGAAGGGCAGGTGAGTCAGTAGTTCAAGGCCATCTTCTGTCCCCTAAGGAGTCCACCCCACCTCCTCACACTTTTGTTTAGTTGGAGTAATATTAACCTCTGTTCTTGAGTGTGTATGGTGTGTCTCTCTCTCCTCAGCTGTGACCTATGAAGCAGTTGTTAGGCCCATTCTGAAGAGAGGAAACTCAGAACAGAGACACCTCGGTGGGTAAAGGTGTTTGTTGCTGAGCTTGACAGCTGCCTGCATTCAAGCTGTGGAGCCCACACAGTGGAAAGAGAACTGACATAGACGGGAGCACACGTGCCCCCCACCCCAGATACATAAATGTTTTTAAAAAAAGACCCACTTTTTAAATTAAAATTAAGACTGCTTGCATAAGAGAGCCCAGAGCTGAAATCACACAGATCTTGGGTTACCTTCTCCAAAATTGACAACTGAATCAACAACCCGGGAGAAAACTACCTCGCTCCTGAAAAAGGTTATTTTATGCTGTGAGATAGAACTAACTGGTCATTGACTATTGAGCTGCCCAGGCTACATTACAAAACTCTTCAGTTTTCATTTCTGAATCTAAATGGCCCCGAATCTGGCCCAGAACGGGGTACAACCCTTGTAGATCTCACCGTCTGAGAAGCTTGGGTGAGAGGGTCAGGGGGACAAGCTCAGTTGGGCTGTGTGAGGAGAACTTGCCACAAGCGAGATGTAACCATGAGAAATCAGACGTCAAACATGCTTGCGTGTTTGGTAGGACGGCAGCTCTTGTTATGGTTCAGAGTGGGGGTTTTGTTTGAAACCAGGCGGCCTCCCTCTGTTTGTTTTTCCTACTGTTAGCCCTTCCACTCGTGACTTATCTGCTCCCCTATCAGGGGCACTTCCTCTAACTCAGGGACTGCGGGTCATTGCCCTACTTCTGACTTTGCCCTGAAAGCAAACTTCTTGGTTTTTGCTTTCAGATAAAATGTCTCCCTGATGCTTTTGAACTTGCTTTTCAAGGATGACTTGAAGCTCTGATCCTCTGGCTTCTACCTCTCAAGGGCAGGGTTATAGACCTGCGGTTGCCCTGCCCTCCCAGAGTTATTCCAGGGCAGGGTCTGAACCGAAGGATTCCTGCATGCTAGGAATCAAGCATGTAGGCAAGCACTCGGCCAGCTGAGCATCCCCATCCACGCTTTTTGGGTTTGGAGACGGGGACTAGTTATGTTGTTGGGCTCAAATTTGCCCCCTCCTGCCTCAGTCTCCCAAGCTGCTGAGGTTACACACATCTGTAACACTATGCCTGTGTTTAATTAAGAGTCTTACTACTCAGTATAAACGTAATCAACATGAGTTTGTATGTGCAGTGTATGTACATGTGCTTGTGTGTGCACAGGTGTCTTTCTCAGGGGATCTCCACTTTGATTTTAAAGATTTTTTTTTTTTTTTTTTTTTTTTTTTTTTTTTTTGCGACACGGTCTCACTGGGTAGCCCAGGCTGGCCTGGAACTCACAAGTCTTCCTGTGCCTCCTGATTAAAGGTGTGCACCACCATGCCTGCCTTTTCCTGTGCAGTGTTTTACCTGCACATATGCATGTACCACATAAGTACCTGGTGCCTGTGGAGGCCAGAGAGGTAACCCTGGAACCAGAGTTACAGACTGTATGAGTGCTGGGAACTGAACTTGGGTCCTCTGCAGGGCAGCAAGTGTTCTTAACTCCTGAGCCATTTCTCCAGCCCCCACCGTATTTTTTGAGTGAGGGTCTTTCATGAACCTGGACCTAGACCCAGCTAGACCTTGGATGGCCAGCGATACCTCGCCTCAATGCTCGAGTTCCAGATTCCCAGCTTTTTATGTGTGTGCTGGGGGTCAGAACTCAAGTCCGTATGATCTCATAGTCAGTACTTGATGAGCTAACCTGTCTGCCAGCCCTTCTAAAGATCTGTTCATGAGAAAAATGCCTTAGGTTAGGGAATTTCTAGTTATTAACCAGAAGCTATTTGCTTCATTTATATCCCTGTTTCTTTGAATTATCTATTTTATATCACTGCTAATGAGCTTCTGCTTCTTGCATTTTCCTCTTACGTGGGAGCTGGTTGCCTATTGAACTTGCTCAGGTGCACTTTGATTTCCTGAGTCAGAGCCTGAAGGGTGAGCAGTTCAAGGCCAGCCTCTACTATATGATGACGCCCCCCTCCCCTCATTCAAAACACAAAAACAGAACAACAGCGAAAGTTGGGGTGACCAAGACTGCTCAGCTCGGTCCGAATCTGAATCTGGCAGCCTGAGTTTTGATTCCGGGAACCCAAGTAAGGTAAAAGTGGAGAAATGACCCCACAATATGGTCCTCTGACTTACACGTGTACCTGTCCCACACCCCAGTAATAAAAATAAGATCTCCCTCTCCCCTCAAACTTCTGACCTACATTGGATCCTGTTTCCTAAAGGACGCGTGTCCTGCTTTGCCCAGCAGGTGGCAGTGTTTCTCCTGGTATTCTTTGGTGGCTTGCTTTCTCACCAGAAACACTCTGAAAAGGATGAAAATTATAGTCTGTCATTATAATGAATTTAAATTATATTTGGATGGTGTCCTGGTTGGGTTTTTTTGTCAGCTTGACATAAGCTTGAGTTATTTGGGGAAAGGGAACCTCACTTGAGAAAAGCCTCAATCAAAATGGCCTGCCGGCACGTGGGAGGACCCAGCCCACGGAAGGTGGCTGCGGCAAGCCAGTAAGCAGCATTTCTCCATGGCCCCTGCTCATGAGGAAGTTCCTGCCTCAACTTCCCTTCATGATGGGCTGGATAGGGACCTGTAAGTTGAAATAAAACCTTTGCTACATCTGTTGCTTTTTGAAATGGTGGTTATTACAGCAATAGCAAGCCAAGGCAGGTAAGAGGTTAGCCTCAAGGTGGTGGTGCAGGCCTTTAATCCTAGGACTTCAGAGGCAGAGGCAGGCGGATCTTTATGAGTTTGAGGCCCAGCCTGGTCTACAAAGTGTGTTCCAGGACAGCCAGGCTACACAAAGAAACCCTGTCTCGAAAAACAAACAAACAAACAATAACAAAATACACACAAAAAGAAGAAAGAAAGAAAGAGAGAGAGAGAGAGAGAGAGAGAGAGAGAGAGAGAGAGAGAAAGAAAAAAAGAAAGAAAGCAGGATGAGCAAGCCAGGGGAAGCAAACCAGTAAGCAGCACTCCTCCGTTGTCTCTGCATCAGCTCCTGCCTCCAGGACCCTGCCCTGAGTTCCTTCCATGATGGACAGCAGTGTGACAGACAGTGTAAGCCAAACAAACCCTGTCCTCCTCATCTTGCTTTGGTCATGGCGTTTCCTTGCAGCAATAGAAACCCTGACTGGGGCATGAGCCTAATAAACCCTTTGCTCCCCACAAGTTGCTGTGTTTTATCACATACTGGGTCCTATCCCAGCCTGTGGCGCCTCGCTCCTGTAAGCCCTGCCCTTGGGATGCAGAGATGGAATCAAAGGTCAAAGTCATCCTCCACAGCCATTCTGAGGCCAGGCAGGACTATGGAAGACCCTTCCTTTTAAAGAACAAAAGCAGAGGCAGGTGTGGTGGCATGTGCTCACCATAAGCAGACAGTGTGAACTGAAGGTCGGAAATTCTAGATTCCGAGCTGGCATGGACACACACACCTGAAGCCTGTGTTCTGGAGCCTGTGGATGTTTGTTTGTTGCCATGGCCCCTAGCAAATTTTTGTTGTTATTATTTGACAGTTTTATACAGGTATTGTTAAGGCTACTTCAAGTTAATAGTTTTTTTCTTTGCTGTTTATCTCCGGGCACACTGCGGATTGAACCCAGGTCCTGTGCGTGCTAGGCAAATGCACCATTGAACTGCACCCCAGCCCTCAGTGTTCTGACTCATTGCCATCCTCATGGCTTTACACTTACTGCTGTATGCTAGTGTAACCATGTGAAATTATTATTCAATGATAAAAATATTGAAAAAAAATATAGTAGTTTAATTTGGTGAAACCTAGTAGTTGAATTGAAGTTGATACCCCTGATGGGATCATGTGAGTTGTTTTAGAGATAGTTAGGGCTAGGCAAGAATTAATGTCTCAGGTGTGAAGTAAACACATGAATAGAGCCGTATCACCAATGTAGATGGTTCCGAGAATGCATAGAATGCAGTCTTAGGTCCTTCACTGACATGTGCCCGAGAGCTCAGGTCATCCTTAGATACGTAATGAGTTCAAGGCCAGCCTGAGCTGCAGGAGACCTTATTTAAAAAAAAAAAAAAAAGGAAATTGGGGTTCAACCTGAAGGTCAGAAAAGGCAAAACAGACAGCCACTGGCTCTTATCTCTCCTCAGTCCAAAATGGTGATCCTGTCTGCAGGAATCTCAGAATGAGACTGTGTCTGAGAGCTGTCTCCTCCCATTTTATAATCCTCTCTAGTTCTGGGATTAAGGGCGTGCACCACTGGTTTCTATAGCGAACTAGTGTGGCTCCTGGGATTAAAGGTGTGTGTCATTGTTGCCTGCTCTGTAAGGCTGGCCAGTGTGGCTGTTTTACTTTTCCGATCTTCAGGCAAGCTTTATCTATTAAAATACAAATGAAATGCCACTACAGTCTGGTCTACAGTGCGAGCTTTAGGATAGGCTCCAAAGCTACAGCGAAACCCTGTCTTGAAAAACCAGAAAGAAAGAAAGAAAGAAAGAAAGAAAGAAAGAAAGAAAGAAAGAAAGAAAGAAAGAAAGAAAGAAAGACAAAGAAAGAAAAACAAAGAAAGAAAAAAGGAGGGAGGGGTTGGGAGATGGCTCAGAAGTTAAGAGCACTGACTGCTCTTCTAGAGGTCCTGAGTTCAGTTCCCAGCATCCATGTGATGACTCATAGCCATCTGTAATGAGATCTGGTGCCCTCTTCTGACACGCAGAACACTGTATACATAATAAATAAATAAACCTTAAAAAAAATCTAAGCATGGTAACTTAAAAAAAAAAACAAATTGGATATAGTAGCACATGCCTTTACCCCAGCATTTGGGGAGCAGAGGCAAGCAGATCTCTGTGAGTCTGAGACCAATCTAGTCTACATAGTAACTCCTAAACCAGTCAGTGCTCTATAGTAAAGCCCTGTCTCAAAAAGCTGGGCAGGAGGTGAGGGGGGACTGGAGAGATGACTCAATAGGTAAGAGCTCTGGCTGCTTTTATGCAGGTCCCAAGTTCAGTTCTCAGCAGCCACAAGGTAGCTTGTAAGTCTGTTCCAGGGGATCTCTGCCTCTCTTCGTGGGCGTGAGGCAGACAAGTGTTACACACTGTGTGCACACATATGTGCATAGGCAAACACTTCTCTTTCCTGTGTTCTCTCTTTTCTGTTGTTCGAGACAGTCTCACATAATCCAGACTACTTTGAGGATGGTAGAGGAAGATGGCCTTGAACTCCTCCTTCCTCCCAAGTGCAGGGAACACACACGTGGGTGCCTGGGTGCCGCCAGACCTGTTTTACACAGTGCTGAGGCTCAAGCCCAGAGCTTCAGTCATGATAGGCAAGTGTCTTATCAGCTATATCCTCAGCCTTCTTTTTTTCTGTTTTCTTCTAACCCTGCTTTTCCTCTTCTCTTTTTGAGGAGAAAAATTCAATGTTTTAGATGATTTCCATTAGAGAATACTTGCGGCAGACGCATTAGTCAACAGAACGAGTTTTTCTATCTGGAATGGGGTGTGTTGGGGGGGGGTGTCCTTGGTTTTGATAGACCTTATTCCCCAGGTGCTGAGCGTGCTGAGACCATTACCTGCGTGCTGGCCGGGCTTCCTGCCTTCAAGGATACACACACACAGGCTAGAGTCCATCACTTCTGCAGGTTCTCAGTTCTCCACCCTGATTGGGAAGGAACAACATGGCATAACAGGTATCTTCCCTCAGACAGGCGAAGTCCATCTATCTCTAAATGCTTGTGATTCTTACTTGGTAGTATATTTTGCATTGTTTTGTTTTGTTTTGAGACAGGATCTTACCGTGTGACCAAGAAGGACTCATGCAGTTGTCCTGCTTCAGCGTTGAGTGGTGGAAATTTCACGAGTGTTGTCATTCACGGTAAGGATATCCCTGTGTGTCGGGGCCAGGGGGTCTCGTGTACTCTAGGCTGGCCACAAATTCATAATGTAATTGAGACTGTTCTCCAGCTCTGAATCCAAGTCCTTTTACCTCTACATCTTAAGGGCTGGGATTCCAGGCCTGTGTAACTACAGCCAAACCGTGTTGCGTTTTTCAGAAACTAACCTCCAGGAAAATCTGGGCAACGCTGTGAGTCTCAGAGGCTAGGCGTGTTTGCTGTTTCTCCAGAGGCCCCGAGTATGACTCCCAGTGCCTACATTGTTTCTTGAAACCCCAGCTGCAGGAAGTTTAGCACCCTCTTACGGATTTGGCCGGCATACACACAGTCACAAAAATAAAAACTGGTTTTTTTTTTTGTTGTTTTTTGGGGGGGGTGGTGGTATTGAAATGGAATCCTGCTTTGTAGCCCTCTCACTATGTAGTCTCAAACCCAACAAAGATCTTCCTGCCTCTGCCTCCCAAATGCTTGAAGCGTGTGCATTAGCACATCCAGCAAGGGCGAGTGTTTTTCCTCCAGTGCACATTCTAGAGAAGTTCCAAACTAGTCGCTTCGAAATCAGAAGGTGTAAATGTCTCTTTTCCTAGAAGATATTACAAATAATTTCTACTCCCTCCCAAAACAACTCAGTGGCGTTGCCTGCCATCCTACCTCCTCAGGAGAATAGTTAGGAGTTAGGAACCAGGCTGAGCAACATAGAGAGAGCCCCTCTCAAGAAAACCAAACAAAACCAAAAGAATCTAATGCTGGACTCATGGGACCTAAGGATTAGAAATGGACCAAATGCAGAAAGGCATGAACAATCTAACGAAGGAAACAGAAAGGCAGGAGCCATGCTGGAGGGTTAGGGTTCTCCCTGACCCTCCCGAGCAGAACCCTAGGACACTGCTGCCTTCCCCTCCCCCTCACAAAACTGGGGATGAAGCGCACAGGCAGATGCACTCTGCCGGAACCCCAAAAGGTGTGTGTGCTCACCGAATTGCAGTCTCTAGCTAGTGTTGTCCGTGCTCTTTGACCCAACTTTTCTATCATGTGTATCTGGGACATTCTGTTTCTGCGGCCCTAAATTTATTGCATAGACTATAAAAATGTAGTAGTATACCAGGGGACTCAAGACTTATCTGTTGTCTCTCCCTCCTTTCTGAGCTGGTTCTATAGCAGGATGGCCTCACGCTCACCAGGTAGCTGAGGATAACCTTGAGCTTCAGATGCTCCTGGGTGCTGGGATCACAGGTGTGTGCCACCATGCCTTGTTTTAAATTTTTCCCCCCAATATTTATTTATATATTTATTTATTATGTATACAATATTCTGTCTGTATGCCTGAAGGCCAGAAGAGGGCGCCAGACCTCTTTACAGATGGTTGTGAGCCACCATGTGGTTGCTGGGAATTGAACTCAGGACCTTTGGAAGAGCGGGCAATGCTCTTAACCACCGAGCCATCTCTCCAGCCCCTTTCCCCCCATTTTTAAAATGTTCCTTTTGAAGTTACAGAACTGTTTTTTTTTAAATATTTATTTATTTATTTATTAGGTATACAATATTCTGTCTGTGTGTATACCTGCAGGCCAGAAGAGGGCACCAGACCCCATTACAGATGGTTGTGAGCCACCACGTGGTTGCTGGGAATTGAACTCAGGGCCTTTGGAAGAGCAGGCAATGCTCTTAACCTCTGAGCCATCTCTCCAGCCCTGTTTTTTTTTTTTTTTTTTATCAGAGTTTGAAAGGAATAAAACAAAACAAAACAAAAAACAGGGCAGCCAAACTATCAGTCCTGGCAGAGGCCAAGAGGAGGAGGTGAATTAAAGAGAGAGAGAGTTAACGCCTTCTGAGTTAGGGTCAAGAAAGCAGGTAGACCCATCAGCAGCTGCACTGGGGAGAAAGTCTCCCCACAGAGGAAAAGTGCGGCTGTGTAGAGGGGAATGCTGCCTAGGATTTAAGACAGCATCCAAAGGAGAGATAAGATGGCCGGGGGCCATTTTATTATGTATACAATATTCTGTCTGCGTGTATGCCTGAAGGCCAGAAGAGGGCACCAGACCTCATTACAGATGGTTGTGAGCCACCATGTGGTTGCTGGGAATTGAACTCAGGATGTTTGGAAGAGCAGGCAATGCTCTTAACTGCTGAGCCATCTCTCCGGCCCCCTATAGTGTAATCTTGAATGCAACTAAGGTACTGGTTTCCAAAAATGTTCTCTTAAGATCTTCCATGTTGGTCACATGACACTCAAAGGGGTGCACGCTGGGAGACAGTAACTAATCGCGATAACTAATCACGATATCAGCTGGGTGTTCCCTGAGTGTCCCCTTCCTACAGGCTGCATAGGACTGGCTTCATTTGTTTCACTTAAAATGCTAGAAAATAGGTAACTATTTACTCTATTTTACAAGTCTGAGGTACAAGGGACTGTGTTAAAAACGTAAAGACTGCTGTGTTAGCAGGTGGAGGCACCTGAGCATGGGACCCGAATTCCATACCCCGCCCAAGGTAGCTGGAGGGAAGTAGCTCCGGGAACTGCTTGAGAGTCCTCCTGTGACCACAAGCACACTATGGAATTTGGACGTGCACATACACACACACAAACACACAAATAAAAGTCAATCTTTTAAGTTTTCAAACATGTGAGGTAGTTCTCTCAGGGCGAATCGAGGGACTGGACTAAATTGTTAACAAAACCCTGCCCCCAAAATGTGGTACATTTACACAATGGAGTACTACACAGCAGGAACAAATAACGACAGCTTGAATTTTGCAGGAAAATGGATGGAACTAGAAAACATTGTTTTGAATGCGGTAACACAAACACAGAAAGATGATTTTCACATGTACTCACTCATAGGTGGTTTTGAAACATAAAGCAAAGAAAGCCAGTCTATAAACCACAATCCCAGAGAACTTAGACAACAATGCAATCTTGTAAGTAGAGAGACTTACATAGATCTAATCTACATTGTTGAAATAGGAGCAGCGGCGGGGCTGCTTCCCTAGCACCCCGGCCACCTGCTAGCTCATGCCCGAAATAACAACACAGAAACTGTATTCTTTTAAACACTGCTTGACCCATTTCTATCTAGCCTCTTCTAGGCTAATTCTCACATATTAATTTAGCCCATTTCTAATCATCTGTGTAAGCACCCCAAGGTGCGCTTACCGGGAAGATTCTAGCCTACGTTCATCCTGGGCCGGAGGAGCTTCATTGTGTGCATCTGCCCGGGAGAGTGGAGCATGCCTCTCTGTCTGAGGCATCTGGCTCTGAGAGGAGCTGCATTATTTCTGACCTCACTTCCTCTTCCTCCCAGCATTCTCTACTGTTTACTCCACCCATCTATGTTCTAACCAATAAAATGGGCCAAGCCAGTTTCTTTATTAGCCAGTGACCTTCCTCCATCACTACATGGGAAGTAGAAAGTAGAAAAAGACAAGATCTCCTGAGTAAATTGGGAGCATGGGGACCTTGGGGGAGGATTAAAGGGCGAAGGGGAGAGACAGGGAGGGGAGCAGAGAAAAATGTAGAACTCAATAAATATCAATTTAAAAAAAAATAGAAAGAAAAAAGAAAAATCCCTGCCTCTAGGAAGACAAAAAAAATGAATGTTTTCATCACAAATGATAAGTGTTAGAAGGGACAGATGTTTAACCTGATATAAACAGTATATAATGTATACACATATAAAAACACTGGCCAATGTTGGTGTATGTATATATATATGTATATATATTGATGCTTTTATGTATCAATGCATCATTGAGTTTGGGGCCAGTGGAGGCTGCACAGTGAGACTTGACTCAGAAGAGAATAAGACAATTCTACTTTTTAAAGATTAGACGGTGGGGGGTGGCAGTGGTGCCTGCCTTTAATCCCAGCACTTGGGAGGCAGAACTGTGAATTCGAGACCAGCCTGGTCTACAGAGCAAATTCTGGGACAGCCAGGTGTACACAGAGAAACCCTGTCTGGAGCAACAACAGCAACAGCAACAACAACAAAACCACACAGACACACACAAATACAGCAACAAACCAATTTATTAATATTACTTTTTTTTGAGATGGGGTTTTTCTGTGTAATAGCCCTGCCATGGTGAGATGCCAGTTAATATCATTTAGACATTTAGATAGATGGGTCAGGATATGGTGAATGACAGCTTCTGAGGGTGGAAAAGGAAGTTCTTGAAGAATGTGGTGTCCCCGAGAGATGCTGTTATTTACTTTTATGCTGTGCTGAACTCTCGTTTCCAGGCTCAGTGGCCATTCCCACGATTCCCACGTTGAGGCTGTCCCCACCCTTCCTGTGTCCCTTGAGTTGAGCAGGCGCTTCCTGTCCTGTTGTAAATGAAAGTAGAGTTGGGGATAGCTCCGCATATGTTTGCTCTGCAGAATGCTGGTGCTGTCTGTTCCTTTATCACAGCAAAACAGTGACGGGAAAACCAGAAAGCAGAGCTTCATTTCAGAGAGGGTTTGGGTTTAAGGTCTTTTTGGAGCGTGTGTGATGGCAGCCGGGAGAACTGAGGAGGGGCTCTGAGGCCCGGCAGTCTCCCTCCCTGTTCTGGGCAGATGGGTGGACTTCTGTGGGTCATTCCTAGGTTTTCTTTTCTTGCTACAACTGTTCCTTCGAGGGCAGAGTGGAGGTGAGTTTACCCCGACTGCGTGGGATTCCTGTCTCTTACGTTCTATTCTTCTTTCCTAAAAAGTCTCATCTCCTCCTTTGTGAGACTTTTGTGAGCTTTTTTAAAGAGTTATGGTTTGTTTCTTTGACAGCTCAGAGACGATATCCTAACTCTGCGAACTTCATTCGGCGTGGCGAGAAATTCCACACCTGGTGAGTTTTTCTACTTGATTAAGCTTCAGGGGTTTTAAGGGCTAAGGGGATAATAGAATAAAAAGTCGAAGCGTTGGGCACGGTGGTTTAATCTGTGGCCTAGCCATCAGGAAAGCAGGCATGAGGTTTAGGAGTTCATTATTGCTGGCTGTGTGGAGCCCAGCCACAGCTTGGGCTACTTGAGACCCTGTATTTAAAGTATCAAGCAGGGCTGGAGAGTTGATTCGGTGGTTAAAAGCTTATACAAAGGACCAAGGCTTGGTTCCCAGCACCCACATGGTAGATCACAAACATCTGTGACTGAAGTTTTAGGGCATCTGATGCCCCCTTCTGACCTCCATAGGCACCAGGAACACACGTGATATATAATACTTACACGTGATTTAAATAAAACTAACTTTAAAAAGAAGCATCAAGTATAAGCTGGGGGCTGGAAATGTGGCTCCGTGGTAGAGCGCTAGGTCACCTGGCGTCATTCATCAAACCAAACAACCAAACCAAACAAACACACAAAACGAGGCACTCTTTTTTTCTTTCTTGGTTTTTCGAGACAGGGTTTCTCTGTGGCTTTGGAGCCTGTCCTGGAACTAGCTCTGTAGACCAGGCTGGTCTCGAACTCACAGAGATCCGCCTGCCTCTGCCTCCCGAGTGCTGGGATTAAAGGCGTGCACCACCATCGCCCGGCCCAAAAGGAGGCACTCTTGAGCGTGTCTACGCTGTCTACGCTAGTAGGCCTGCATTAAGGCAGGGGGATAATGAGTTTGAGGTCAGTGAGAGCTGCAGATGAGGCCCCACCTTACATAAATAGGTAAATAGATAATAAATAAGATAGCTTTTCTTGGGCTGAAGACGTTACTTTGTATAGCTTAGGGAGTGGTAGAGCGCTGAGCGTACTGAATGGAGCCTTTTGTTTTGATCCCTGCTACCACCAAAAGTAGCTAAGTACAATGACAAGAAAATAAAAGGCTTCTACTTGTTCAAAAATCACCAAGCCCCGAGCTTTGTGAAATTGTTCTGATGGATGGCTTTTATTTATTTACTTAATGATTTATTATTTTGGTTTTGCTGTGACTGAAGGCACGAAAGAGCCACCGTGCCTGGCTCAGGGCGCCTTCCTTGCTGAGACTTTGAAGTGGGAGAGCTGACGTCAGCCTGTCTTTCCCGTCACAGAGCTAATTCGTGTCTGCTCTGTGTATTCACCTTTGTTCTGCTTACTACGTTGTGTGTGTGTGTGTGTGTGTGTGTGTTGGGCTGTACATGCCACAGCGTGTGTGTGTGTGTGTGTGTGTGTGTGTGTGTGTGTGTGCAGGTCAGAGAACAACTTCTGGGAGTGGGTTCTCCCTTTAACCATGTGGTGCCAACAACTGAATCCTGATCTTGGACACCTTTACCAGTTGAACCATCATCCAAAAAAGAAAGAGAGAGAGAGGGAGAGAGAGAAAAGTGTAACCTAGAGCCTAGGCTGGCCTGCACTTGTGATCCTCCTGCCTCACCCTCTTTGGTGTGTTCTCCATCTCTCCAGCCTCGGCTAGCCTACTGTTCTGAAGATCAGGCTAGCCTCTGGCCTCAGACTTGGTTGGTCGTCCTTTATGTGTGCTGCAGTTACAGCTTTACAGGGTGCATCTCCATTTCCAGGCCATGAGCTTGCGTTTTCACTATTATTATTATCTATTTATTTGCTTTTTTAAGATTCATTTTCTGGGCTGGAGACTGGCTCGGTGGTTAAGAGGTTAAGAGGCGGATCTTCCAGAGGACCCGGGTTCAGTCCCGGTACCACGTGGGGCTCACACCTTCCTGTAATTGTGGTTCCAGGGGATCTGACAGCCTCACCTGTCCGACACACATGCAGGCCAAACACCAATGCACATAAGACCACCAAAAGTTCATTTTTGTCTTTAAAAAAATTGTGTGTATGAGAGAGTGAGTGAGTGAGAGAGAGAGGGTGAGAGGCTATGACAGAGTGTGACAATGTGTGTGTGAGAGAGGCAGGGAGAGAGGGAGAGAGAGAGAGAGAGAGAGAGAGAGAGAGAGAGAGAGAGAGAGAGAGAGCAAGCACGTGAAAGCTGGAGCAATAGAGGTGATCATAAACCACCTGATACGGATGCATGCCAGATGTGAGCTAGGTCCTCTGGAAGAACAGCAAATGCTCTTAGCCCCTAAGTCCTCTCTCCAGCCTCCATGTTCTTTCTTAACATGTTAAGAGCAGTCTAAATAGCCAGGCAGTGGTGGTGCACACCTTTAATCCCAGCATTTGGGAGGCAGAGGCAGGTGGCTCTCTGTGAGTTCGAGGCCAGCCGGGTCTACAGAGCTACTAGCGCTAGATCAGGCTCCAAACCTACAGAGAAACCCTGTCTCGAAAAACAAAAACAAAACGAAAGTCAGCCTAAATATAAAGTAGTTTGAGCTCCAAGCTCTTCTACACACTGCATCTCAGTATAGTTTTCTATACATGCTCTGGGAGGCAGAGTGGGTGGGGGGGGGAGGGACCTTTTACATCAGACTTGAAATCTTAAAAAAAAAAATTATTACATTTGTTTTGAATGGCGTGCCACAGTGCGTGCTTGTGGGAGAGAAAATTTTGTTCCTCTCCTTCTACCTGGTAGATCTGAGGACCTAACTTAGGCTTGGCAACCTTTACCACTAAGCCATCTTGTAGGCCGAGCTTGAAATCTTGTAGCTGAGATTTGAGGGAAAGGAAGTTTCAGATCAAATCAAAACAACAACAAAAATCGTTGTCTTTCATTGTTAGTAGGATAATTGTGTTATTGCAGTAATCAGAACTTGTTCGTGAGGGAATGGGTCTGCATTTGACAGGGACTAGACCTAAGAACTCTTCCCTCTAGCTCCAACTACTAAGCCTAAGGAAAACAAACCAGACTAGAACATCCTGGGCATTAGGACCCAGTGGACGTGGCTTGTCCTGACTCTCGGTTAACTTCTGTCAGCTAAGCGAGGCAGACCTAGCTCATTCTTCCCGCAGGCCCCCCCCCCCTCTCTCTCTCTCTCTCTCCTCTCGCTTGCTCCTTTTCTCCCCTTTCTCCTCCCCCTCCCTTCTCCCTTTCCCTCCCTCTTTCCCTCCCTTCCTCTCTCCCTCTCCTTTTCCCCCTCCTCCCTCCCTCTCCACCCCCTCCCTTTCCTTCTCTCCTTTCTCTTACTTCTCTAACAGTAAAGAAAACATGCTGCTATCAGTGACTTCCAGGCCTGGGATTTCGACTTTTGGGTATAACAGGAACAACAAGAAGGTAGGAAAATGCTTTTGGGGAATCTTGCTCCTTCTTTCCCGAGGGGTCCGGGAGTGCCCTTGGTTTAAGCATTCTCCTTTAAGAGGGGAACGAGATTCCTATCTCCCCCTTCCGCGCCTCTGCTTCTGCCCCTTCTTTCCCTGCCTTTTCGCACCTGGTTCTGGAGTTGAAGGACTTTAGAACCAGGGTTTGTGAGGCCGGAGAGGGCCGGCGGAATAAGAACAGTCAACTTTGCGAGTTTGTGTCTTATGAAATGAAGTTAGTTTGACTGTCTGCTGATGTGCCGATGTTCTTGGGGACAGTGTGTCATCCCACACCTTGTCCCTAGGCTCATTCCCCACAAGATTATTTTATCACTTTGGCTACTTGTGTCTTCCCCTACCCCCATTCCACCTCCCTTTTTACACAAACCAGATAGCCGAAGTCACAGGTATTCCCAGAGGACTCCGGGCTCATCAAGAATTGAGTTTGTTTCTCGACTGGAGACCCTACCCTACTCCACCCATCCTGGCAGAGGAATTTGGGGAGATAACAAGCTTTGGGATTAAGGCAGGGAGCTCTGTGATTCTTTGGGTCTTGCCTTTTGAGCGGATACTTGGAACCCTGCAGATAGCCAGGCTCAGCAAGGATTCCTGGAGTCTTTATGATTAACCCCTGGCTGCCTGAGAAGCTAAGCTATGGTTGAGTGAACAGACAGCCTGGAGAGAGATGGACAGTCCTGCCCCTTTGCCAGAGAATATCCTTGGCAGTTTCTTGGTGTCTCGTGGCACACAGCTGGAGAAGAACTTTAGCAGGGGAACTTCCAACCCGTTCTGGACATTTTTGTTCTTCCAGAATTCTGTGCTTAGCTTCTCTGATGGAATGTTGGAGCTAGAGAAAGATTCACGTTCTCTTGGACCTGAAGAGACCATTTCAGAGACTGAAACATTAGTATCTTATCAGGGGAGGACCCTAGTAAGTCTTAGTTTATGTGGCATTCATTCTGTTTCTATGCTTACAGAAATAAAACTCAACAGCCAGGCGGTGGTACGGGCCATGAATCCTAGCACTTAGGAGGCAGAGGCAGGCAGATCTTCGAGTTCTGAGTTCAAGACCAACGTGGTCTACAGATCAAGTTCCAGGACAGCCAGGGCCACACAAGAAAACCTCTCTTGAAAAACCAAAAAGAAAGAGAAAAAGAAAGAAAGCTGTATACATATTTTGATTACATTTTATAATAATGTATCAATATGGATAATGTATAGACTGATTTCCTGTCATATATTATTTATTTATATGTATGTTTGTTTGAAAGGGGAATAGGCCACCTATCTTTATTCTCCTCAAATCTATATAGTACTGTAGAAAAGTTTCCTTCTCTCTCTGTCTCTTTCTCTCTCTCTCTCTTTTTTAAAGATTTTATTTATTACATATACAATACAGTGTTCTGCCGCCATGTATGCCTGCAGGCCAGAAGAGGGCACCAGATCTCATTTTAGATGGTTGTGAGCCACCATGTGGTTGCTGGGAATTGAACTCAGGACCCCTGGAAGAACAGTCAGTATCCTTAACCTCTGAGCCATCTCTCCAGCCCCTCTTTTTTTTTTTTTTTTTTTTTTGTGGTAAGTTTTGGGGTTTTGAGATGTGTCCTCCCTCTTTACCCCAGGCTAGAACTCACTCTGTAGCCCACGCTGGTCTTGAATTTGCTGCTGCCCTGCGAAGATCACGGGCATGGATGAGATGAGCCTCTGCACCTGGATCACTTTTCTTTCTCTTCCT